AAAACCCCCACCACTTCCTCATACATACACTTATATAACATAAGCGATACTAAATATAAGTGGCTTTCAAATCCTTTCTCACTATAGGTATTCAAAATATGCAATTATAACTGTTATAACTGTTATATATAACAGTTGGTGAGTGTTTTGCTCATCTCATGTGTAAGAACTGGTAGTTTTTATGTTTATAACAAACCTCCCTATGTGTGTGTGTTTTAAAAATATTTTTTTAATAGTCAAACATTAATTAAATCTCTATTAAACGCATAAATGATTTTTTAAGGCAATAATTTTAATGCTATTCTTGAGTGAATACCGTCTTATAGTATAGTATTTGGAAAGTTATCGAAAAATGTTTGAACAAAAAAAGCCATTGAAGAGAACCACTTGTTTTCGTCACCGAAATGCCAATAAACAAAAGCTCTATTGAAATGAGTGTTGACTTCGTATCCGAAATGATAGGAAACCAATTGTCTGCCGATGTGTGATGTGTTTGAAATGTTTTTTATGGTGAAAATATTTCCATCAGAAATAAAATAGTATTTTTCATTTTTGAGACTCAAATCACACAAACAGTTATTTCTTGAATGAGAAATAAGTGTTGAACTAAAAGAAAACTAAATATAATGACTTTGAAAAGGGGAGAGAAAATGGAGAGAAAAAACTACTCGCAGTAATAATCACTTTCTTCATGCGATTTCACGAACGCAACGCAGGTTTTTGATGGACTATTGTTTTGGTTTTGCATAAAACTTATTTCTCTTGTCTGACATATACTTAAAATGCTATACACTTAAATACAAAACCAATTTCTTATGCAATGCAATGAATTTCCGCGATTTTTAGTCTAATTTATTCTCAGACACTGTTTTGTAAGCATTTGTCACTTTATAAATATCTAAATATCTATACATAACCACAAGAGACTATTTTAAAGGCGAGATTTGTTTAGTTAAGAGCATATTTTAATTTATTGAAATTTTAATTAACTTATTAATTAAACTTAATATAAGAGGCTTTTTATTACGGAGTCATATATCTAGCCGTTAATTGACACGTAAAGTCATTATTATGTAAAACTCGTTCATTTTGAATGCCTATTGAGAAGACAATTGTGTTTTGTTTTATTTGTTTGTTTTTATAGTATTGTATATCTCATAATGACATAGAGATAAGTATTCCTTCCGTCTATTTGTGATCATAAAGGCATAAAAATAAAGCAAAAAGTTTTGGTTTTATGCAAATGTCATCGCAATTAAACACAAACTTTGATTTTTATCACCAGTTTTTTAGGGAAAGGTCTTTAAAATATTCAAAAGTTAAATCTAATCAGTTTTTTGCGTTAAAAAAGTAATTAAGTTTTATTTGATAAAATTATTTATAAATTATAATATGCAAATAATTAGAGGCAAGCATTTAATGTAAATCTTTTTTTATTACTGTATTGTAAAATTTTTCTTCAAATTAAATAAATTAATTTTATTTATTGAGATTTACTGTAAAGACATGTCCGCTCTTCACTTGTGATAAGATATTTACAAAATTAGTTTGAATTAAACAAAGAGTTAATAAATTAATTTTTATTTAAGCGCTTTATTATTATTATTTTTATTATTATATTTATACACAATTAGTAAACTTAAAATTCCTAAACGCATTGTTTTTAGCTTATTTGATAAGACATCAAAAAACCTGTTTAAATGCTAGAAGAATTGTAATGTGTTTTAATTTCTTAATTAAATTATCAGTAAATCTCGATAATTAGTGATAATTTTAAAAAACATTATTTCCTATTATTAGTAACACTCTGTAATGTAATGTATTTTGAATTACATTATTCCTTCCGTCTATTTGTGATCATAAAGGCATAAAAATAAAGCAAAAAGTTTTGGTTTTATGCAAATGTCATCGCAATTAAACACAAACTTTGATTTTTATCACCAGTTTTTTAGGGAAAGGTCTGTAAAATATTCAAAAGTTAAATCTAATCAGTTTTTTGCGTTAAAAAAGTAATTAAGTTTTATTTGATAAAATTATTTATAAATTATAATATGCAAATAATTAGAGGCAAGCATTTAATGTAAATCTCTTTTTATTACTGTATTGTAAAGTTTTTCTTCAAATTAAGTAAATTAATTTTATTTATTGAGATTTACTGTAAAGACATGTCCGCTCTTGTGATAAGATATTTACAAAATTAGTTTGAATTAAACAAAGAGTTAATAAATTAATTTTTATTTAAGCGCTTTATTATTATTTTTATTATTATATTTAAACACAATTAGTAAACTTAAAATTCCTAAACGCATTGTTTTTAGCTTATTTGATAAGACATCAAAAAACCTGTTTAAATACTATAAGAATTGTAATGTGTTTTAATTTCTTAATTAAATTATCAGTAAATCTCGATAATTAGTGATAATTTTAAAAAACATTATTTCCTATTATTAGTAACACTCTGTAATGTAATGTATTTTGAATTACATGTCAAACAATTATCAGCAATCGACCGGTTATTGTTCAATATTTATGGCAAAATAGCATGATAGGTTTGATTTCAAAACAATGTAAGCGATTGCAAGTACATAACTTTTAAAGCTAAACAATGTAAAATTAATTTATGTAAATAACATAGCAAACAATTTCAACAATGTTTGAAATATTTACGTTAAAATATATTTTTCAATCAAAAAAGTTGAAACTCTTTAACATCGACTACAGTGTAATTGAAGTGATATTAAAGACTTACGTTTACAGGTATTAATAGTCTATCAAAAAATCAAAAGCAAATTACAAGCGATACGAAAATAAAAACTTTCAATTAGTTTATAACTAGTTTTTAATAGACATTAAATGTATTAAAATAAAAGGTTTTAATGGGAAATACATTTCACATTCAATAAAAGGATTATTGATTGGAAGTCTCAAAACCAAAGTTATCGCCATTTGAACGGAAGAGTGTATTAAAAGAGTCGATCAATCAGTGAAAATAGAAAATTGATTTGATTTTGATTACATATATTGTGATAACTCTTTAAAAACATAGCTTTTAGATTGTGTTCAAATTAATAAGAAATAAAATTATAAATAGTTATCCGGAGTCACGGAATTGCCATCATTTGATCCAAATATGTATTTAACCAAAACTTTTAGTTTGAAATTAATTTAAACGACTGTTAATGTAAGTGAACTCTCTATCGACATTAAAAGACCATGTTTTTTGTGATATATTAGCAATTAAATCTACACAATTAATTCTACAATTGTCAAACATTATATACAAGTTTCAGCACTGGTTACAAGTTTTGGGGAAAGGGAGAGGGAGAGAGGGAGAGAGGGAGAGAGGGAGAGAGGGAGAGAGGGAGAGAGAGAGAGAGAGAGAGAGAGAGATCATGTAATTCCTGTTTGTAATAATAAATATAATGTTTAAAGCATTGCTTGCCATCTGTTGAATGTGAAACTTAATGTAAAAACTTTTTAACTTTGAAGTGTTTAGAATTTAGAATTAACCTTGTTATTTGGAGACAACAGATTGACTTGAATTTAATTTAAAAATTAGGCATTTATTTGTCTACAAAATTAATTAATAGAAACACATAATTTAATTAGATTATTTTATTAGATAAGTACCAAAATATTTTATACTAAAGTGTCTTTGATTTTACTAAAAGTAATAAAATCTAATAAAATTCAATTTAGCCAATCATTAGTCACACAAATGGGTTTTAAGACAAAATATACACATATTTATTAATTTAATTAAAAAGTGTTTCCGTTTTTACTCTATTATATCATTAACTTATATAACAACTAATGATTAAATGGGAGGCAAAACTCAAAACCATTAATATAAATGATTTCTATGTTGTATTACTTATTTTCAATACAAAATAAAATACAATAATATGATTATTTCAGACAATTAATTGTTACATTAAATTGAAATGTCACTTTGAAATTAGTGATTTACAAATTAAGTTATTTTGCGGTTGAGTTTAAGCTGTAGTTTAGACTATACATTACATAACCAGACAACTAAATGTGTTAATATTTAAATTCAAAACGATTTAACTAATTATAATTTATGAGAAATTTGTATAAATGATTGTGTTTTCACTTTGAATATATTTTACGACAAATAATGAAGTTATTTAACCCTTTAATTCTCATCTGAATGTATAATAATTCACGAATTTATAGCCGCATAACTAATGACACCGAAAGTGAGAGCTTTTTATTAGTTGTCGTGGAAATCACTTTTACATAAAAACACATTTAAAACTTTAGTTATATCTCGTATAAAATTTATGACAAAAATATTCAAACATTTTAATTTTGAAATAAGTTTTTATTATTTTATGAATATTTTTATTAATTAAAGATTATTCGTGAAAATATCGGATTTAAAATTCATTTATTTAGTGTTATATAAATTACATTAATTGCAGAATTAATAAGAAAATAAAATAAATACATATGCAATAAATATTAAAATGTTAAATAAATATTTTGGGGGCTTATTATTATCACAGTATCAGCTCAATCGCTACAAACTATGTCCGTATATAAATAAATTTAAATATGAATAGTTTTTATAAAATGACAGCTAATTATATAAGAGAAATATATTGATAGCCTAACATCACTGGTAATAAATTGTCACATCTCTTAGCGTTTTAATTTCAGTCGCTTTTACATCGATTATTATATAAAGTAATTGTAAATTTCAATTAAAATTCCTAATAAATTAGTCAATGATAAGCATTATGTCAAACAAACACCAATTATAACCTTTAAATTACTATAAATATATAGTAATATTCACTCCTTAACCAAATCTACTTATTAAATGAATTTCTTGTTATAGTTTCATTCACTCTATAAATTACATGTATTAAATTAAATACAAAGTTTGATGACAAACACAAAGATTATTCAATAGTTTGATACAGTTTTAGAACATTTAAACAACAATTAGATTTGAATGAGTATTAGATTCAGAGGACGGGAACAGTTTTGGGACAGTCCTTAAGCCTAGTGGCCATAATGAGGACCGCGGCCAACATAAAGCCCTGAAAGATTAGGGTAACGCCCGATAGTGTGGCCAAAGTCGTCGGTTCGAAGCAATAGAAGCCGTACTCATCGAGCGATACCCGAAAGGCCGGCGATTCGCTTGAAAACAAACTCTTGCTTTTCCTGAAGGGAGCGTTCATTGGTTTGGACGGCATCTCTATTTTGGTCACTTCGGTGTTGGACTTAATGGACACCCGTTTCGAGAGCATTGTTAGCGTCAATATGTCTCCCTTTTCGGCCAAATCCATGTCCTCCACGGGAGCGCTCCGTCGGCGCCGACCATAGGAGGTGACCGTTTCGTACTCGTCATCGCTTCTGCCGGTAATGATTTTGCACTGAACCTAAAACGCCGATCGCATTAATGGGATAATGAGTTTTGATGTTATCTATGATAACAATTAATATAATATAAGAGTACTGACGGGTCGACACTTGTCGAGACAGGTCTCCACTTCGGCCTCGATCTCCAACAACTGACTGCCCGTAAAAGTAAACGCTTCCAAATAGCTCTCCAACGACTTCTTGTCTTTATTCATAGTCCGCACTTCTCTCATCATTTTTGCCTCAACCGGACATCTAATTGATCGGCAAATTAATTGCAAAAACGATTTCAGTTTTGTTTTTATGTTTTGCAAACATTGAGATTAAGTTGTTTTGAAAATTAATCGATAAAATGGTATTAAAATGTTTTAAAATTTTAATTAAAGCGTTGAGACAAACCCCGAGTTATCGATGAGTGTCAAGTTGTTAGTGCCGCCCAACCCGTCCTTTGCGATCAGATTGCGTACAAAAATACCAAAAGTGGCTAAAGAAGTGAATGTCAAATAATAGGGGGTTTAAAATGAGTTTGCGTTTAATATTGTAAATGCAATTAATTGCTTGTAATGGATGTATAGATACCTTCGTCACTCATCCTCACTTGAACCCGAAGTGTGTCCCCTAAAGACACTTCGTTGATGTCCTCCCCATTAATGTCAACGATATGCAGCGATAGGTCCGGCAGTTTCGCTGATCCTCGCAAACGGTCTGTCATTATATCTCTGAAGACATAAAATTATATAAATATTTAGACGAAATTTGCACAAAAATCTTTACTAAATGATTATAATTATAGCCATAAAAATAGCCAAAAGCTGCCAAATACTGCATATATAACCCGATAAATTCAAAACATTAGATAATTATCAATAATAGTCCTAATAAAGAGGTGATTGACTTGTTTTTTATGAACATTTATAAACGTTTAGACATGAAATATATATAAATATAAATATAGTAAAAGTTACAATTTGCTAACAAATAAAACTAACACTTTGTTATTAAAGAGTAATAAATTAAATGATACGAAAAGATAATGCATTTTTGCCATTCATTTGCATATTCTTTGTGTTTGAAATGGAAATGAGACAAAAGTATTCCACAATTTTCTTAGAAATATATCTAAATGTGAGTCAAATTATATGATAATAATATTGAAATTCTTGCCACACGTTGTTATTCGCAACAATTTAACACAAAATTGGTTTCGTTTAAAAATTTAATGCATCCCTTCCTTCACCCTATTCTTCAGCAAAAAATAATTAAGCATTTTCTCCGAAATGAAAGTCATTTCCTTTATGTATGCAAAACATTGTTATTAGTTTCGCCATAAGATGTAACGACTAATCCCCTGAAAATTGATACAAAAAAGTCCATTAATTGCCATCAATTCTCCAGAAAAAGT